TTCCTATGCACAGCTTAAAAAGGCTATTTCTCAATGATGGTATTTGAACTGGTTATCAGCAAGTGACAATACATTCCACCACAAATGTGCTCTTGTTCTAGCTTTTAGACTATATGAAAGAAACTGGGTGCTTCAGAATTTGGAGAAAGAAACACTACTGTGTTGTGGATGAACTGAAGACTGCCTGTTCATTTTTTAAATATTATTTCAGGTCCTTTGCATACCAGAGGAGGCCCAATTTCACTCAAATGTTTTGAGAACTGTGTTAAATAAATGCAAATGAAAACTAAAGTGCTGGTACAATTCAGTTTACAAAGATTTTATTTTAACCTAGGAGTAGTTACTTAACCAGAACGATCCTCTCTACTTGGGGGTTGGCATTGTATTAAATAACTAGTTTCACCCTTATTCTGAGAGTGTCTGAAATGCATGTTCTCAGTATTGTTTCTTCCGAATTTTATGCAAATGGCTAATTCTGCAGAAATTGCTATAGGTAGGCTATTTTGTTGGCCTGTTGATCTTTTAATTGATTTGAGAGAGGGGAAGGGAAATGGATATGCAGAGTAAAACATCAATCAGCTGCCTCCTGCACATCCCCCACCAGGGAATGAGTTCACAACCTGGGCATGTGCCCTGATCAGGAATTGAACCAATGACCTTTTGGTTTATGGGTCGACACTCAACCACTGCTGGGCAGTCTGCTGATCTTTATATAGTACTGGCATATCAGAGGTTTGTTTATAGAACATCACAGTTAAGTGAGTTATGTGGATTTTCCCAGTGCATAACAAAGTCATGTTTACAGTATACTGTGATCTTATAAAGTGCAATAGCATTGTCTTAGAAAAATAATGTACACGCTGCCCTAGCCAGGTTGGCTCAGTGGATAGAGCATCAGTCTGCAGGCTGAAGGGTCTGGGCTCAATTCTGGTCAAGGGCACATGCTAGGGTTTCCGTCTCAGTCCCCAGTAGGGGTCCTGCAGGAGGCAACCAGTCAATGATTCTCGTCATTGATGTTTCTATTTCTCCCTTCCTCTCTGAAAATCAATAAAAATATTTTCTTAAAAATGTACATTCCTTAATACTTTATTGCTTATAAAAAAAGGCTAACCACCTGAACCTTCAAGTCTTTTTGCTGGTGGTGGTGGGTCTGCTTTAATTTTGTTGAAAACTCAGTTTCTGCAAAATGCAGTAAAAAGGGTATGCCTATACTTTTAGTATGTCCAATGTACATTACAAAGCATTTGACATATATCCATTTAGTCTGTAGCAATCAATGTACTTATCTTAAGTCAAACCATCTGTTAAAGGTCCAGTGCCAGGATCAGAGCATAGGCAGTCTCAGTCTACAGTACTCATAATTATGCCATTCTGCCTTTAATCTGATAAAAATATAGTTAATTAAGCATACACAATATTTGCAGGCCTTAATTTGTCAAACTTTACTCAGCAGTGTGCCTCTTCTACTTCTGGTAGCTGTTAATATAAATACATAGATCCCTTACATGCTTATACAAGTTGAGTTGTAAAATGATCCAGAAAGGGAAGGGAGGTTTGATTATAAGGGATAGATTAAAGGTTTGAAGTTGTTGTCCATGTGCTATAGTGGTGGTATCTGGTTTCATGGAAGAAACTTGGCATACTCTAAACTGGTCCTTTGGGTAATTGCCATAGATTATCATGGGAGGAGGAACATGGCAGATAATTTAGGGATAATATAAATTAGTCGTGAAATACTTGAAGGCAAAGGAAACAGGATTTTTATATGCCAATACTATCAATATATTGCTAATAGCTGCAGGGATAAGATGAAGCCAAATGTAAGTTGATTTGGAAATTACTGAATTAAAAGAATGAAAATCTGTAATGCAAAGGGCTTCATGAACACACTAGTCAGAAAATAGTCTCAACAGTATAATTTTGGGAGGCCTTTGAGGACCCCAAGCCCTCTGAAATGTTTGTAAATTCTGTTACATAAAACACGCCTCAAAATGAAATAATTCCCATTAATCAGTATTTAAACTTCACAAAGCTTGGGAAATTCTGAATTAGGCAAAGTTTTGCCCAGGATAAATAGGATTTTATGTCAAAAACTTTATAGAATGCGTTTTTGAGGATGACTGCGACTGGATTTATCAATGAAGTGCACACATCAGCAATTTGCTTTGGTCAACCAGCTAAGGTCTGTTGATTATATAACAAAACCTAAACCTCATGAACATAGGCCTCACATAGTAGAGGAATTAAACTTCCAAACCTGGCTATCCTTAAATGTGCTTCTTAAAACATAAAACAGCTTAAATCAACTGGCATTGATTTTTATTATTTACAATCAATAATCTTCATTGATGCTCTGGCTAATAGGTCCCAAGTTTGAATCCTGGTCAAAGGTACATACATACCTGGGTTGCAGGTTTGATCCCCACCCCTGGTCGGGGTGCTTTTGGGAGGCAATCGAGATGTGTCATTGGTGTTCTCTCTCCCTCCCACTCTCCCAAATATGGAAAAAGTATCCTCAGGTGAGAATAAAAGAAATCTTCATTGATCTATTTGTGATGCCTAATTGGTAGCTATCTTTCTAGTCTGAATTCATGTCCCCTCCAATCCATTCTCCACTGAGCATTGAAATTGTCTTAAATAGTAAATCACATCTTTGCTTTCAAATCCTTCAGTCCCTTCCTCTTGCATTTAGGTATAAGTCCAAACATTGTTTAGTGACCTGCCAGACCCTTCACTGTCTAGCTAACCTTCACCTCAGTAAGTCTCTCCCCACACTCATCTTGCAATTTTTTCTTTTGAATGCTAGAACCAGAAGCTTCCTGGGTTTAATAACCTGGAGAGTAGTATTCCCAATAAGGCACATGGGTTAGAGGAGAGAGAAGAAGAGGCAAGATGGAGACAACTTGGAACTGGGTCCTACTACAGAAGCTTGAGGCCAATTCCTTAGGTTGCTTACTGCCTGCTTGGCTTTTGTTATTACAACAATTGGTTTTAAAACATGCTTATTAAAGCTAATATGCTCATTAAAGGTAATAGCTCTCAAATCTAATGGCATCCACAGACAGGTACTATTCTAGTATGGGAGATAGTCATGATTGGGGGTCTTTGAGCATGTGGGATGGGATTTTATCAAGGCTAAAAAGGTTATCAGATTCACAGGATAAATACATTGTCTTTTCCCTGAAAAGATAGTTCATGGTAATATAAAGAGGATTATCTTAAAATTATATTTGTACTGTGTATTATAATTCTTGTTGGCTCAGGCCAAATGTGTTACTTGAATGACTTGTGGTTTCTAGTTCAGCATGTAAGGAACCTGGAAATCGCCATTCCAATCCTATCAACAAACTGAAAAATTAACAGCTCTTTTTAAATCCGTAAGAGAGGTGAGGTCGCAAGACAAACCACTAACCCACTAAATTGGAGACCAAAATTGAATCACAACTTACTGGAGCAGAAACCCATAAGCATAAATCTAAAGACCCAGTTTCAGGGTGGGAAAAACTAAATTGAGTTGTTGGTGGAAGCTCAGTCTGGTGATAATACTAGTAAAAAATTAGATCATTTCAGGAGATTGATAATAGAAGATACCAGGGAATTTGGAGGGAATAAAATTAAGGTACAGTACAAATAAAGATCATAAGCATTATGGTTGTTAGAAAACTCCTTTGTATCTCCCCCTTAAATTTACAACTGGGGCGATACCTATAATCCAACAGTTTCTTCTCTAAACACACCAGAGATCCACATACCTGTATATCTGAAAGTGGACATATTGGAATACATGGCAGCAGGACAGGGAAGGTGCCCACAGAATTCCCTGGCCACCTAGGCCCCAGATAAGGCGGTAGCAGTGAAATGGTTGGGATGCAGCCTCACTACAACCCAGCAGAGAGTAAGGGTTTCTACTGTAGGCACCAAGAATCAAACTCCCTGATCCCCCACTGGTGCCGAAGTAGCAGTGAAGACGAGTCTGGACTACCTAAACCACAGTGCTCCCTGCAGCTATAAGAAACAAGATGGCAGCACAGAGGGCTTGTCTACCTGTTCCCCTCATCGTCACCCACTACATCCTCAACCAGGGGGGTGGTGCCGTGAGATCTAGTCAACCAAGATACAGGAGGGATACCTACCACCCCGGTCACCTAGGCAGCAATCCCCAGGGCCTCAGCAACACCCCATCACCACAACTGTAGCTCCAAAGAACCAGTAGTGCGGGTTGGGGGAAAAATTGTGCTATAGCACCATCTACTGGAAAAGCAAAAAAGCCTTTCAAGTACCTAAAAAAAAAAATTGAAAGTTCTGTGCTGTTAAGATAAAAATGATACTAGATACGACTCAGGTGTAAAAGAGAACTAAGATTTTTTTTTTAATGCAGGAATTCTATGAGAACTATCTGATTCCATTAGAAAGCAACAGAAGGATAATGGGTATCCCAGAAGAAGAGAGGGAGAAAGGAACAGAGAACCTATTCAAAGAAATAATTGAAGGGAACTTCCCAAACCTAAGAAACTAAACATTCAAGTTCAAGAAGCTAACAACGTCATATTAAAACTCAAAATAATGGTAAGCAAAAAAATTTCAAGGCGTCTAGGGAGAAAAGACAGTAACCTATGAAGGAGCTTTATTAGATTATATTTCTCAGCAGAAACTACATCATCAAGAAAAGAGAAGTGTTAGTGAGAAAAGGAAACGCTTGTAACTGTTGGGAATGTAAGTTGGTTTAGCTGCTATGGAAAACAATATGGAAGTACTTTAAAACAATAAAAATAGGGCTGGCCGGCGTGACTCAGTGGTTGAACATCAGCTCATGAACCAGGAGGTCAATATTTTATTCCTGGTCAGGGCACATGCCCAGGTTTTGAGCTGGATCCCAACTAAGGGGCATGCTGGAGACAGCTGATCAATATTTCTCATGGACGTTTCTATCTCTATTCTCTTTCGCTTCCTCTCTGTAAAAGAAAAACAAAACTAGAGGCATCACATTTCAAATTATATTACAAAGCTACATTAACTAAAACATTATGGTATTAAAATAAAACAGAAACATACAACAGTGGAACAGAATAAAGAGCCCAAAAATAAAACCCATATATAGTCAACTAATCTTTGCGCCAAGAATACACAATGCCAAGTCAACTAACAATGGTGCCACGAATATACAATGGAGAAAAGATAGTCTCTTCAAAAAATAGTGTTGGAAAAAGTGGATCTCCACATCCAGAAAAATAAAATTGGACCATAAACCAGTAGTTCACAACCTTGGCTGCACATTAGAATCACCTGGGAATCTTTATAAAATCCTGATTTCTGGGCCTCATCCTCCGGAAATTCTGTTTCTTTGTTACTAGAAAGAAACCCCACAACAAAGGATTTCTGGAGGATGAGGCCCAGAAATCAGGATTTTAAAAAGATTCCCAGGTGATTCTAATGTGCAGCCACCAAGGTTAGAACCACTGCCATAAACCAAACTCAACTCAAAATGGATTAAAGACTTAAATATAAGACCTGAAACCACAAAACCCCTAGATGAAAACATAGGGAAAAAACTCCTTAAGGGAAGATTTAAAATGCAGCAGAGTAAAAGGATGCTGCACGGACATGCTCTCAGGAACAAGCTGGAATTACAACTGAAATACGGAAAGGCTTCCTGAATAATCAATGGAAAACTCACAGGAGAGAACCCTGATACCCAGGGACCAAAGGTAGAGACTGGTAGGAGGGCTGGAGGCCGAAAAAGCTGGCCGGGCTCCCACAGACAGCAACGGAAGTCCTGGAGAGAGATGTCAGCTGTGGGGGCCGGGGGAGTGCCACTGAGACCTCTGGGATCTAATCCTGAAGCTGGGCCCCCAGCAGAGAGCACCAAACTGAGGAGGGTACCCATCTAACATCTGGCTGTGGGGTGCTGTCTGCAGGGAATGGCAGCTGAAAGTTCGGGCACCCTCTTAAAGGGCCAACACACAAAAATTCCCTGTGGAGCCACTCACCTTGTGCTCCAGCAGAGGGTGTGCGAAGTGGACTGGAACTGTGAGGGCAGAAGCCAGGACTGGGGACTCAAGGGATAGAGCTCAGAAGGCAGACACCCCAAGTTTCCTGGGCTGAATCATTCCCTCACCCAGCAGAGGACATCTTTCCCACATAGACATCTGCCTTGCCTGGGGGGAAGACAGTTGACACACCCTACCAGAAAACACCTTGCCTTGAGGCCACTTCAGAGATTAACAACTAGCTTCCCCCTGTGTGAAAAAACTCTCGCCACACCTGAGGACGATTGCCTGGGGGCAATTCAAGTCAGAATCCTATTAGTCTGTAGGCAGAGGCAGTCTCTGGAGGCTTTGAGTCTTTGCCTGATCCAGTTAGTCAGAAACAACCTTTAACACTGTCCTGCACTAGAGATTGAGAGGTGTAGAAGATCTACTTAAAACACAGTCACAAACCCAAACAGACAGACAAAATGAGGAAACAAACAACCCCCAAATGAAAGAACTAGCAAATTCTCCAGAAGAAGAGATAAATGAAGCAGAGATAAATTTATCTGAAATAGAGTTCAGAGTAATGATGGTAAAAATGCTCAACAGTATGAAAAAAAAAAATAGTAACTATGAAAAAAGAACAGTCTGAGATAAAGAATGACATAGCACAAATAAAGAACACACTGAAAGGAATACAGAGCAGATTAGGGGAAGCTGAGGATCGAATCAGTGAATTAGAAGACAGAGTTGAAAATATCAATTAGAGAACCAAAAAGAAAAAAAATTAAAAAACAGGAGGACAGCTTAAGGGAGCTGTGGAACAATACGAAACATAACAATATTATGTTATGGTAGGTGTGCTAGAAGAGGCAGAAAGGGATAAAGGAATAGAGAAGGGAAAAAAAAAAAAGGCTAAAGGAGTTCATCGCCACCAAGCCAGCATTATAAGAAATGCTAAAGGGTTTGTTGTAAGGGACTGCTGAGAAGAAGAAACAGAGAGAGAAACCTAGCCATATGGAATTAAAATGGCTATAAATAAGTACCTCTCCATAATAACCCTAAATGTAAATGAATTAAATGCTCCAAGCAAAAGGTGTTGGGTAGCAGAATGGATGCAAAAACATGACCCAACTATATGCTGTCTACAAGAGACCCACCTCAAAATAAAAGATACACACAAGATGAAGGGGTGGAAAAAAATTTCCCATGCAAATGGAAAAGAAAAGAAAGAGCTGGAGTAGCAATACTCACATCCAACAAAATAGACTGTAAAAGCATCATGCTAAGCGAAATAAGCCAGTTGGAGAAAGATAAATATCATATGATCTCTCTCATTTGTGGAATATAATGAGCAACATAAGCTGATGAACAAAAATAGAGCCAGAGGGGAAAAAAAGAATACTAGAATATAATAGAAGTAATTCTGTTATTAGCAGATTTTTAATATTTCCGACAACTTTTGTGATAGCGTACTGTTAGTACAGTTTTGGTAATATTATTATACTTAAAATCCTTTTATTCTTGAAATATTAATGTTTATTGCATGTAATATATGTAAGATCATTTGTGTTTGTAACATCATTTAAAATGTCTTTTCCTGAGATATTAAGGTTTGTTTCATGTAACATTATATTTAAAATCATTTTTCTTGAAACTGAAAAAAATAGAGTACTCATACAACTGAACAAAAGGAAGACAAACAATCCAATTAAATGATGGGCAAAGTACCTACATAGACACTTCTCCAAAGTGGACATACAGAATGCCAAGAGACATATGAGAAAATACTCAATGTCATTAATCATTAGAGAGATACAAGTTAAAACGACAATGAGGTACCACCTCACACCTGCCAGAATGGCTACCATCAATAAATTAACAAACAACAAGTGCTGGTGAGGATGTGGAAAAAAGGGAGTACTATGCAGCAGTGTAAAAGAAGGATCTCTTATCCTTTGCAACAGCATGGAGGGACCTGGAGAGTATTATGCTAAGTGAAATAAGCCAGTCAGAGAAAGACAGTATCACATGATCTCATTCATATGTGGAATCTAATGAACAAAATAAACCGATGAATAAATTAGAACCAGAGGCATGGAAAAATGGAACACACTGACAGATGTCAGAGGGAAGGGGGACAGGGTGGGGGTGGGGATGGGATGAGATTAACCAAAGAAGTTATATGCATATATGCATAACCCATGGACACAGACAATAGGGTGGTGAAGGCCAGGGAGAGGCAGGAACCAGATGTAAGGGGGAACTGAGGGCAAAAGGGAGGGGGGATCTGTAATACTCTCAATAATAAAGATAAATTAAAAACACACACACACACACACACACACACACACAAAACTCCTTAATATTGGTCTTGGCAATGCTTTTTTGGATTTGATACCAGATAACAAAAGCAAAAATCAACAAATGGAACTACATTAAACTAAAAAGTTACCACACAGCAAACAATCAACAAAATGAAAAGGTGATTTATGGAATGGGAAAAAATATTTGCAAACCATATAACCAATTAAGGGTTGATATCCAAAATATACAAGGAATTCATACAACTCAATAGCAAAAACATCAACAAATAACCTGATTAAAAATGGGCAACTGGCCTGATAAACATTTTTTCAAAGAAGATACACAAATGACCAACATGTATATGAAAACATGTTCAACATCACTAATCAGAGAAAAATGCAAATCAAAACCAGGGTGAGATATCACTTCATACATGTTAGAATAGCTATTATAAAAAAGATAAAAATAAGTCATAGCCGGTTTGGCTCAGTGGATAGAGGGTTGGCCTGCAGACTGAAGGGTCTCGGGTTCAATTCTGCTCTAGGGCATGTACCTTGGTGGCAGGCTTGATCCCCGGTGCCAGTTGGGGCGTGTGAAGGAGGCAACCAATTGATGTGTTTTTCACATCTCTGTCTCTCCCCTCCTTTCCACTCTCTCTAAAAAATCAATGGAAAAAAATATCCCAGGTAAGGATAAACAAAAAAAAATTAATAAAAGCATTTTTAAAAAGATAAAAAGTATTGGTGAGGATGTGGAGAAAAGGGAACCCTTGTGCACTGTTGGTAGAATATACTAGTAAATTGGTGCAGCCACTATGGAAAACAGCATGGAGATTCCTTTAAAAAAATTAAAAATAGAACTACCATATTACTAGCAATCCTACTTCACGTAAATATTCAAAGGACATAAAATCACTATCTCAAAGAGATATCTGCACACATTCACACATTTCCAAGATATGGAAATGCTCTATGTGTCCA